CATGATAAGAGCATCCCTTTCACAAAAACCTACGGGTCCTCCCCCCTATCCAGCCTGCCACTTCAGCACCTTGTGATCTTTGAGAAGATCATTACGAGCCCTCTCCTAGAATGTTTTTGTAGATTCCGAAAATTCCACGGTGGATCAGGATGAGTATGTCCTGGATTCATTCTCATCCTGGAGCTTCTGCTCTCCTCCGGGGAGGGGTTTTTATAGATAGAGAGGGGTAGCCCCCCGCTTGACCGATTTCTCGGAATCAGAGGAGGTTTGAGCTCGACCGCTAACGAGCCCCTATCAGAGAAAGCCTTGGTAAAGTAAAGCGCGAACTTTCTTTTAAGTTAAGGCGCGCATCCTCTTGCTGGGAGAGGGGCTAATGCCACTCGCCCTAATGAATAAATAAACAGGAGAGGGGTGAAGCTTGCTTACTTGTTAGAGTAAGGGGAAAGGGCTTTCGAAAGCTCAATCCCTTGCTTGTTGTTTTCGAGCCGCTGGGTAGTGAAGTGGTCCGTGAAGGTTAAATCACACTTGTGTTAAGCAAGCCGAGTAGTCAGACTTAAGATTGAAGCAGCTGTTGGAGAGAAGACACCAGTCAGACCTGCAAGCACCGGGTAGTACGCAGCGGCAGTTTTCAATCATACAATGTGTACTCGTAGTCTGACTTTTAGCGGTAGTCAGCTGTCCTCGTTCTCCTCTTTTCATTGCCCTATTGAGTTGAGTAAGGGTCGGTGTTTGCAAAAATGTCGAGCCGACGGGGTCAGGTACCAGTAGTGACAATGGCAAAGGGGGGGAGCTGGACACTGCTGAACCTGAAGAGATTGCTCAGGATGGGTGTCTGGGTAACAAAGCCGAGAAGGGTGTAGTCAAGGTGCGAGTTTAACGAGCGAGGAGAGTGATTTGGCCCATAGAAGCGAGGATCTGGAAGAGAGGGTTGATACTGGGTCAACTATGGCAGTGACTGAGGGGGACTTGTTCTGTGATAAACAAATGACTCCAAACAAGAACCTCAGGGCAGCCAATCCTAAGAAAAGAGGTGAACCTGAAGCAGTAAGAGTAAGCGTTCAGGTGCTGGTGCTATGACCTTTTTTCCACCTTTTTCGAATCGAATGATTCAGCGCTCTCAGAAAGCGGATCAAAGGCTTCCGGATTCGGATTATTCTACTTTAGATGCTTCGGATGCTTCCTCGGCCGCGCAGTACGTACTTCTGTTTGGAGAGTCTGTTCCTTACTTAGCTAGGACTTTGAGTGACTAGAGTAGCCCCTCTGTATCCGAAGGCGCCTTTTTTTTTATGCACCTGAAACGGCTTCCGATTTGACTTACTTATAGTAAAGTAAAGTGGATCGACCCCGTTCAGTAGAATTCCGAAGAAAGAAGGCTAGGCTTTTCTTTTAGCTCTCACTCATCCCGGGCGATTCTTATTCTTATTGGCCACTAAGGAGTAGTTGTGGCTTTTGACCAAGAGAACGAGCTAGACAGAAAAGGTACCACCGAAAGAAGGTCGACCTCACCCCCTTTGGTAAACCGAAGCAGAGAAAGAGGAAGAAGCAAAGCTAGGCCATTCGATTAGGGATGTTATCACCTGTGCGTACTATCTTGAAGAAGGAATATAAAAAAGAACCTTATTCTTTTTCTCCCAAGTTCGAATGCTTTTTTGCTGTTAAAAGAAATCGAATACCATTCGTGACCCAATTCAAAAACGGAGTGACTGAAGACCTCCTCCCCCTTTCCCGCCTATCCCTCCCGCAAGAGAGGACTCGTTCTGGCTTTAAAGAGCCTCTTTTTTAGCAGTCTCGCCCATAAGATAAGAGAAGATTGACCATCTCTTCTTCCAAGCTTCTTTCTGCTTCTTCTCGGCGTAACGAAAGAACTAGATGAGGAGAGGCCTCCGGTTTCAAATCCCTACCCTACGCCTTACGAGGGCGCCCTAGCCAGATTCACTCCCAAGGGTCAATCAAGCCTTTGAAACTAGTTCAAATAGTCGTCCTTTAAGTTAAGGCTTCGTTCCTGCTTTCAACGAGACTTTCTTAGCTGCATCAGCTTGTAAAACTCTCTCTCCTTCACCAGGAAAGGGAGAGCGGACAAAGTACCAGACGATTTGGGTTGGGTAAGAAGAGTAAGCAGACGATGTCGATAGAAGACGATTCGTGGGATCTTCCTCAAAGTCAAAGAAAGAGAAAAATGAGCTAAGCTAAAGAAGGCCCATGAAATTCGATGTCGAATGAGTACGATTTTGAGCATAAAGAGAGAAGAAAAAGGAACTATTTAGCAAGAATCTAGGTTTAGCAAGATAGCTGCCAGAAAGACTGAGCTTAGGTGCATAGCGCTTAAATAAGTGGTTGAAGAGTAGCTTTCCATCCCGACAATGACTACTTACTTTCCATTTTTGGGATTTCACTTAACTTAAAAGACTGGACTTCCAGCAGCAATGAGAGCAAAGGCAAGGAATTGATGCGCCAATAATCGAAGAATGGGGCAAGGCAAATTTCCAGACAATGGCAAGTGCTTGAGAAGGAGCTGTGAAAGAAGGGGCTGCTAGAGAATAGGGAGCTCTTGAAGAAGAAGGGATTGCGGGGTGAACGGCATTCTGTTGTACTACTAACACTAGCTGTACTAGAGTAGTTTAGTAGCGCCTTTTGAATCAAAATCAAATAGGCGAACCCTTTCCGAATCCGAAAGGCGAACAGCCCGCATTGCAAGCAAATAGATAGCCCCCGCCCGTTTGAGTCGTTGCGAGCCGGAAAGCGTACCGGCAGTTTGAGTCACGAAAGGGCCGCTTGCTTAATCTTTATTTTATTATTTATATATATATACAAACAAAGAAGAAAATCATTTTTTTATCAAATTGTTCATTCCTGGGAAGAGGAAGAAGCAGATAGAGCAAAGGCCTCCTCTTTCCGAGGTTGGGTGTGGCTTCCCGAAGTGAGCGAATTGCATGTAGAGATCCGTAGGGGCTTATAGTTTAATTGGTTGAAACGTACCGCTCATAACGGTAATATTGTAGGTTCGAGCCCTACTAAGCCTACCACCCCCTTCTCTTCACCCGATACAAGAAGGCAGTCGAAGTCCCCTCCACTCTTCATTTTATGGAAGACATCGCGTTCCTAGTCGATTTCCCTCATTGCACTGTCCCCTTAATGCTACGAAGTGAAGCAGGCGTAGAGACCAACCAAACCATAGGGTATCTATCCTGTGATCTTTCATCAACCCCGGCTCGGTATCGGTAGTCTCAGTCTTTCCCTGCCTGCCCTGGTATGAGTTGAGAGTTTAAGAGGGAGTCTTATTCTACTCTAGGCTCACTCCACCCCCTGTCTTGTCTTATTTCAGGAGGGACTCGATTGTTAAGAAATCCCTGACTCTGTCTTTGGGCTAAAGCCTATAGTTCTCTCCTCACTAACGGAAGTCTCTTAGTAAGTAGCATCAGCTCTTCCGGGGGAAAGCCTAAGTAAGGAGTTTTAGCGGGCTATCCACAAGCATTAGTTCTCCCCCCTCCCAACCTCAAGATCATCAGCGGACGACGCCTTCTTCCGAAAGTCCTCCCTCTTTGCTTTGCCCCAGCGAAAGAGACTGAAAAAGATCCGTATCTGATTCCTCGGGTCTTGCTGCGTCAGCTACCGTAGATAGGAATAAAGCTTAGTAGTAGGAAGGAAGCAAAGAAAAGTATGCCCTACATGTCAACAGGGTGGAAGTTCAAAGCATCGAAGATGAGTACATGGAAGCACCAATGAAGAAAGTCCAGAGTGCAGATATAACCTTCTCGACATAAGACATCTTGCTGGACAGGAAGAAGCATACATAAGCGGCCTCTTTTTCTCACCGGTGACATCGGCGAAAGAAAGAAGGCTACCGCGGGTAGAGATCGACCCTGGGGCCTCCATCAACGTGATGCCACTGCGGGCCCTAGCCGATCTTGGAATGAATTCCTACGAGCCGGCTAAGTCAGACCAAGGTGACTATTCCGGGGTACAATGCCGACTCGCAAAGAGCCATCGGCAAGATTCGTCTCTTGTGTGTGCCGGATCTGAAGACTGAGGTCACTTCTTACGTGATTGACGGTGACACCTCCTAAACTTCCTGCTTGGATCCACAGCGTGGTACCTTCCACCCTTCATCCATGCTTCAAATACGTTGATGAGAAGGGAGAAACTGGGTATTTGCCGACAAGAAGCCCTTTTTTCATTTTAAAGGAGTCTAGGCATACTGTCTGTACGGATGCGCGTCTTTACAACGACGGCCCAGCCAAGACAGTGATGGATGACGAAAGCCCGCCAGCGAAAGCCGAAGCACAGGTTCGTAGACCTCTCCGAATCCCAAAGTAGAAAGCTAAGGGATTTACGGTCAACGCTATCTCAAAGAGCATGACCCCGTTGACGAAATCTCTAAACTGGGGCTGGGGGAATTACTTCAACTCTCGGTAAAGATGCCACTTCCTGCATTACAGCAACCTTCTCAGGCAGAGGACCCTAATGGAGCGACATTCGTCCTCTCAATGGAAGGTTTTTTTCCTCATCTTTCACAGGGTAGCCCGGAAGTCTTCTTCTACGCTGGAAAGAATCGTCACCGATGGTGAGATAAGAAAGAGAAAGTACAGTCCGATTGCAAAGAAGCGAAGGACATGGGCTATGACCTTGAGGAGCCTGTCGGGCTGAAGTGAAGAACGGTCGAGGCAGAAAAGTACCCCTCGAGCCGCATCTAAGTGAAGAAGAAAGGGAAGCTTGGCTAGCCGGCCAGTACGTACGTCGATCTCAGAAAACATAGGCTTGGGCTACCTGCCAACTCCGCTCCCTGCGCCGAAAACTTTGTCTGATAGGCATAACTCTCAGCCGCACCTTGGAAAGGCTTCAAAAGTATGGTGTACTCACGCCTCTTCCCCATCTCCGTCACCTGATCCTCTCCCTCCTAGGTACAAAGCCCATGCCTACAGCAAGTACCTTTAGACAAATGGCCAAAATACTGACCGATGTTTAAGGCTGAAACATTACATCCAAGACCTTATTAATTCAGG